CAAGTTCGCCTTCGCACTTCACGATTTGGCGTCGCTCAGACCACAACGTTGCACAATGGGGGTTGTGAGATCTGTGGGTTGGTTAGCGAAGGGGTGTTACATCTGATACGGTGACGTCGAAATGCGAGCCCCCACTCCCCCAAGCGCGGGGCCCGGGGCAGTCACCCCCAATTCGCCGTGCACCCTACGGACGGCTCTGAACACACCCCTCACCCTTTATCTTCCTCCCCCCTTCCATCTTGAACACCCCCCCCCCCTCCTGTGTGACCCCCCACGAGTTTAAATATAAGTAAGTCCGACCTTGTAAATTCCCAATAATAGATTCCAATGCCAACACAACTCATGATAAAATAGATTTTTATTTTTATTTCACGAGGCAAGGCCCCACTGAGTGAACTACGTAGCTCTTATTCAGCAGCGAACTGGCCACAAATGATCGCCTAAACGAAGTTGGTTTATCGCGTGGAAATTTATAGCAGCCGAATACCCTAAAGGCGCGATGTTGACTCTCAATGTGGAGGGAAAAACCGGAGGACCCGGAGAAAATCGACGCGACCACGGGGGGAGAGAGACGCACGCAAATTTCACAAACACGGGCGAGTAACGATAACTATTGTTGTAAATGAACCATATTTTTGGAGAAAGAAAGTAATCAAGGAGATTTGCTAACAACAACAAAAACTAAACGGTACAACCGTGAAAACCTACACAGTAGTAAAAAAATAATAATAATCACTTTTTATAACAAAATAATCTTCAACCCAGGTGGAGGATTTGCTGAACTAACCGTTCCGTGTGGGGGGGGGGGGGGACCCCCCTAAGTTCGGTGGCATAGAATTCGCAGCTGTTTCGTTACTGCCACCGCTCTCTGCGCTGAGTCACTTCACCAGGTGGAGCACCGCACGGACACGGCGGCCAGTGATGACGGTGACGATGAGTCACCGTGGCAGATTTGGCAATGCCAACATCAACACGAGAAGCGACGGCTTGGGCAGAGTATTGGGACGAGGCTATATGGGTTGGATAGGAGACGCGAAGAAGAAGGACCATCGTAGCAGCAGCAGCACCAGTCTCGTAGCAACGCTCTCAATATTTAGCCCAAGTCAACGTCGCCTCGCCTTCCTGGCCCAAACGAGTCTCGTCTGGCGGTGGCACTTCCACATTGCTATGGCGGGGTCAGTATATACACACACACACACGTATGTACGCTGAACTCTTTTCGTGCCGTGCGTAGCCGACCGCGCTAATCGCAGGCGCAATTGGACCCGCCTGTTTCGTCCATTTGTTGGCAGCAAATGCTCTCGGAAATGTTGAATTCACAAATCGCTGTCACCCGTCACGTGCGCTCCGCAGACTCCATGAGGTTCGAATTCATCTCAGACCTCTTGGCAGGCATCCGATCGGGTATTGACGTTTAGCTCCATTAAGGCGCGATGCTTATTGCGATGTCCATCGCTTCTTGGGCTCTCTCAGCACAGAACTATTCTCTTGCTATCTCGCCTGTACTTTGCGTTTTCCAGAAATCACGGGAGTTTGCCCAACACTTTTGGTCACATATTGATCGGAAAATGTGCGCACTTATTGGGGATGATATCCACGCTGCTATTTAACAAACAAACAAACAAACCCGTGCCTCGAGTTTTCTGGCTGGCTATCGGCTGCGCCACCTCTCCACCCCGACGATGACCTCTGTTGTTGTGAGTGGCTGCTGCGGGCTCTTGTCACAGAAACTAGCTGGGTAACTGGCTGCACGGGATTTCCCGTGTAACAAATAAACATTGCGCCGACTTCAAACGGTGCAAGGAGCTCGGGAGTAGATGGACAATGACGAGAGTTGTGCGGACAACGAAGACAGAAGACCGGCCGCGGTGCATTTGAAATCATCCTCAGTAACAGCGAAGGGGAGTTCACCCAGATCTGGGGCCCCCTCGTGAACGCCACCCCAGAGACCCTGAGTTTACTTGACTGAACTTGAAATGAAACTCCCCCCCCCCTTCCTTCCCCGAATAAAAAGGATGCATCGCGCACCACAGAACGCTACGATCCTGGACGTTCTCGTTGGTTGCCTGTCCGAGCCGCGTAACCCGCTATGCACCACCCGCCTATCGCGGAAGTTGGACACCCCCCCCCCCACCCCGTGGAATGGATCAATAAAAATTATTTACAAAATTTACAAAATATTCTTGAAATCCGAAAGAAATATTGACGTTGTTATTAAACCCACATCACAATACATATTATCTTCACATTTTATTATTACATTTACAAAGATGATTACTGTACCATGTGTGTATGTATGTAGAACTTCTTTCGCACCGTACATTGCCAACCGTGCTTGTCGGAGGTGCGGGGACAGCACCCTGGGTACAGGGGGGTTGTGGGAAGAGCCACGAGCAATGACAGCCGTCTCTCATTACGAATTCTCTCCTCGCCCCAATATTAGGAATGATCCCAGGGTTACCTCTTCATTATATTCTACAGGATCGGCCTCCGATACTCATCTGTGAGCATCCGCCTGCAACGTCTGTCGCCTAGGCTCGTAGTTTGCCCATTTTTGATGACCCAGGTAAGGTCCCGTATAAAGAGAAAATAATACTAGTAGTATACTTAGAAATGTAATGTAATGTTGACTGTTATGTTATCCGACTCTCTGTTGTATTACATTACATTTCTAAGTATACTAGATTTGTGTTTCTATTTCATTTATACCTGATAATGATTGCTTGTGTTGCAATCGAAACGTCGTATGCTAGTATTTAATTTATTATTTTCTCTTCATACGTGACTTTACCGAAAAAACCAAAGAGTAATTCCTGCAGTCACGAAAGCTCCAAATTAAGTATGACCCAGCCTCTTCACGTTCTCATCCAGTTGCGAAAATAACCTCGACTTGTATGGATCGTTTGATTGATCGAGATGATCTATCGTAAAAGGTTCGCCGCTATAACGTGCTACTTTCACTTTGCTTCGTACGTACGGTACGAATGTTGACCTTTTTTAGTCGCGCCGCGCTAATCCGAGGTGCTTTCTGCCGTGAGCACGACTCCGCGTTGTGTTGTGTGTGCGCGTGTGCTTGCGTGCGTGCGCGTGTGCATGCGTGCGTGTCGTGCGTGTGTGCGTGTGTGTCGTGCGTGCGTGTGTGCGTGCGTGTGTGCGTGTGTGTCGTGCGTGCGTGCGTGTCGTGCGTGCGTGTGTGCGTGCGTGCGTGTGTGTCGTGCGTGCGTGTGTGCGTGTGTATTCGCGTTGTCGCACGGCGGTCGCAAAGGCAACGCACACAATCAGTATTCGCGAGATACCACGTGAAATGCGTGGGGGGGGGGGATAAACAATCGTCGCTGTTTCAACCTACTCAGGACCACGTGGAACGTCGAGGCAACGTTGGTCCAACGGTTCCAACCACATGCCAACGTTGTCATGTTTTCCCCAAACCCTTGCATGTTTCGGTGGTATATAGTCTCTTTGGGTACCCTTTGTTTATGGAACACCGCAGTGTCTCTTGGGTACACTGTGGTTTTTGATTACCCCAACCCTTTCCTTTTTCCTATGTGACAACAACGCCCCCCTGAGGTGGAACAACGTTGGCTAAGGACGTTGGTTAACCACGTTGGCTAACCACGTTGGCTAACATCCTTTCTGCTCGCATCTCCCGGGTCTTCACGGCACCCAGGCCTGGTCTCCGCTTCTCCCTTTGGCCATGATACCGATTATAACCCTAAAGTTGACCCTGTTCTCTCCAGTAAACATGAAAAGTGGTCCAACGTTGCTCCAATGTTGTTGCAACTTCGGTGGAACATTGCTGCAACATTGGTCCAACGTATCCAACCACCGCAACGTGTCCATGTAAACCGGCGTATTACAGGGACTCCTCTACTTACGAACGGGTTAAGTCCCAGAGGTACTGTTCGTATGAGTTGATTTGTCACGAGAAAAACTTTACTCCTGTCGATTCCAAACATGTTGTACGGCGTGCACACGAAACACGGCTTTAAAAGTTGTATATTCTCCTGTAGATGTAGATGCCATTGGTTCTTCACGTTCTGCAGATGTAGATGCCACTGGTTCTTTGCGTTCTGCAGATGTAGATGCAGCTGGTTCTTCATATTCTGCAGAAGTAGATGCCACTGGTTCTTCACGTTCTGTAGCTGTAGATGCCACTGGTTCTTCATGTTCTGCATATGTAAATGCCGCTGGTTATTTATGTTCTGCAGATGTAGATGTCACTGGTTCTTCACGTTCTGCAGATGTAGATGCCGCTGGTTATTCATGTTCTGTCGATGTAGATGTCACTGGTTGTTCACGTTCTGCAGGTGTTGATGCCGCTGGTTCTTCACGTTCTGCAGATGTAGATGCCGCTGATTCTTCATGTTCTGCAGATGTAGATGCCACTGGTTCTTCACGTTCTACAGATGTAGATGACGCTGGCTCTTCATGTTCTGCAGATGTAGATGTCGCTGGTTCTTTATGTTCTGCAGATTTAGATGCCACTGCTTCTTCACGTTCTACAGATGTAGATGCCGCTTGCTCTTCATGTTCTGCAGATGTAGATGTCGCTGGTTCTTCATGTTCTGCAGATTTAGATGCCACTGCTTCTTCACGTTCTTGCAGATCTAAATGTCACTGGTTCTTCATGTTCTACATACAGTATTTAGATACCACTGGTTTCTTCACGTTCTATAGATGTAGATGCCGCTGTCTTTTCACGTTCTGCAAATGTAGATGCCGCTGGTTCTTCATGTTCTGCAGATGTAGATGCCACTGGTTCTTCATTTTCTGCATATTTAGATGCCGCTGATTCTGCAAGTTCTGCAGAGGCAGATTCCACTAAGTAGATGCCACTGGTTCTTCATTTTCTGTAGATGTCGATGCCGCTGGTTCTTCAACATCTGCAGGTGTAGATGCCACTGGTTCTTCATGTTCTGCAGATGCTACTGGTTCTTCATGTTATGCAGATGTAGATGCCACTGGTTCTTCACGTTCTGCAGATGTAGATGCCACTGGTTCTTAATTTTCTACAGATGTAGATGCCACTGGTTCTTCACGTTCTGCAGATGTAGATGCCACTGGTTTTTCACGTTCTGCAGATGTAGATGCCACTGGTTCTTCACGTTCTGCAGATGTAGATGCCACCACCGCCATCTATTGCACGGCAGTTGAACTTACGACTCTCGGTCCTCACAGGCAACTGGACATTTGGACCAGGTTTGTTCATATCTCTGAAAATTCGTAAGTCAAATGTTGATAAGTAGAAGAGTCTCTCGATACCTCAAATCATAACCCTAAACCGTAACATTGTTTTTATCATCACCACCATCATGGCCGCCACCACCACCTCAATAATCCTCAATCATGGTGTGTGTCATCATCATTGTCACTATCACCACTACCACCGTCATCATCATTATCACGACCATCGTCATTTTTATCAACGTCACTATCACCATGACCACCGTAATCATCATCATCACTACCATCATCATCAATCATCATCACCACTAATTGCAGCAGCAATCCTTCATATCATTCAGTAGAAGCGAGCTTGTCAAACAAACAACACCCAGGGGTGTCGATTTGATATGAAAACAAATGGAATTCTCGTGGCGCAGATCCCTCAAGGTGGCCACCCCTAAACCCGTTCCTCCTGCACCAAGGCAACCCGCGTCCCGTCAACGCGGCCGCCCTCCGCATTACCATTGGAGTCACTGCTGATGTTGGTGCTGATCACGTCGGTGCTGACCATGGCGATGTCGACGAGGTCCCGCGACTGCGCCGTGTGTCCGCTCCTGCTGTCCTGCCCCGAATCCAACGGCTCGTGGTCTCTGAACGCGTTCTCGATGGCGGCGACGAGCGAGCGCCTGAAACGGGCTTTGAGATCCGAGCCGCTGAACACGTAGAGGATCGGGTTGATGCAGCTGTTGATGAACGCGAATCCCCAGATCACGGGGTCTGCCCATTCTGCCGCCGTCAACAAGCTCTCGTCGTCCTGAACGTAGGAGGCGGCCTCCATCAGTCCGATGGCGTGGTACGGCGCCCAGCAGACGGAGAACGCCACCACCACGACCACGATGATTCTGAGCGAGTTGCCGCGACGCGTCTTGTCTACGCGCCGCAGCCTCGCCCCGATGCGACAGTAGCAGAAGATCATGACGGCGTACGGAACGGCGAAGCTCAGCACGAATCGACTTATTTTCATGGCCGTGCCCCACCGCGCCTGCACGTCAAAGTCTTCGCCGTAGCTGTTGTAGCAGGCCACGAAGCCCTCGTTTGTCCATCGAGTCGTGCGGAAGATGAGAGGCGGCAGGCTCAGCAGCATGGCGAGGAGCCACACGGCCAGGCAGAGCCACCGGGCCAAGTGCAGGCGACGCAGGGGCAGCGAGGACACGGGGTGCAGCAGAGCGGCGTAGCGGTCGAGGCTGATGAGCGTCAGGAAGTAGACGCTGGCGTTCATGTTCACGACGAAGGCATACGTGTGAAGCTTGCACGCGGCCGTGCCCATCGCCCAGTGCGAGTCCATAGCGATGGGGGCAATGACCACGGGGATCTGCAGCACCAAGATGAAGTCGGCGATGGACAGGTGCAGGAAGAAGAGGGTCACCACCGTGCGCTTCATCTTGAAGCCCAGGATCCAGATGACCAAGAAGTTGCCGATGCTGCCCAGGACGAAGACGATGGTCAAGATGGTTATGGCCGCGTATATTAAGGTGGCAGTGCTGGTGGAGGTTTCCGGCGTCTTGTCTGTGCTTTTGGAGAGCCGGGTCACGATGGTTTGGGAGGTGTTCCAGGCGACGTAGTTCCAGACAGTGGTCGTGTTGAACTGCAGTGTCGGGGAGAAAGAGGAGCTCGGGAGATGGGTGGTTGTGGCCATCCTGATGGGATGAGCGATTGTGTGGTGCTCTGCAGGAAGACATTAACAACATCATCATCAATCATAGCAATCACCAGACAGATGCAGAACTTTGAGTCAGATCATTCTCATCATTAGTATTTTCTTCATCTCAATGTACCCGTACAGCCCTTTTGTCAAACCACGGCTGAATGCGGGGACCTGCCCATGTGCTTGCTGGTCGTGGCGGGTCTTGCCACCATACTTCACCAAGCTGGTCAATGTGGGTTGGTGACTATGGTGAGCATAGATGTGGAAGCTTAGAAATTGAGCACTGTGCACAAACTATGGACTGGACTACGTTGCATTGCCCTCCGTTGCCCGCCGGGTGATAACCTAGGTCGGTCATTTTGAAACTGTGGTAAGCGTAACTCCGGGGGGTACGCGAGCTCTCGTTGCGGTGGTACAGCGATAAAAAATCGTGTAATGGTGGAACAATAATATATTTGTTATTGTGCTTTGTGCCTTTGAAAATAAAATACACATACTACCATCATTGGTTCTGCTCCGCCATTTTGTTCAAACACCAAGACGAGCTCTTAATGTGTCCTTTTGAAACTTGAATGTATGTACTTTATCTATCTTTATTTAACGGGCGCCACTGTGGCGTGATGTTATCTTCCTTGCCTGGTATGCAGAAGGTCGTCGGTTTGATCCTGACGATGACGCCTGGTGTACATTTGGAGTTTGCATGTTCTCTCTTTCCCCGTGGTTGCGTGGATTTTTTTCTCTCTGGGTCCTCCAATTTCTCCCTCCCGCTTAGAATTAACATGGGTTCAGATTATTTGGCTGCTATAAATTTCCACGTAAGGTAGCTACTGAAAAAGAGCGATATAGCTCAGTGGGGCTCACATCGTAAAATCAAAACGTGCAAATAAACTCAGGTCGCCGATAGGTTATATAGCACGATGTGTTAACCGCTGCACCACCGCTCCCACCTCCCATGGTATTCTCACGCGTATTCCCGTAAAATAGTGCACATATGGTGACAAACTAATAGCTACAAGGTGCTTAAAAAATGTGTTAACCCTTATATGGGATTATCATTTATAATGGGAAACGAACGGATAATACACTGTAACATGATGACAAATGTAATGTTAATAGCTTCAAAAAGTCAAAACGTCTCCAATTGTTCGCCATCATTGTCAACAGATGCCTGGAATTTTCTCCAGGTGGTCTCCAGAGCCCAGAGGCACATTACTTGTGGTATTGTTGCAAATTCTCAGAAGTGTTGACATTCTTTTTAAGCACACTGTATTATGAGTCAAGAATTAGATGCATCCTTGAATAGACCACAGTAGATTCCTACGGTCACGATACGTGCATTGCAGAGAATTGTTTGCGCACTGCGCCACCAATGAAGCCGCCTGTGTTGTATCTTGGGCCACGGCTGCAATACGTGGCATCTGAACCTGTTCTGGCCTCCAACACCCCCCCCTCCTCCCCTTAATTTTCACTAAGCCACACTGACCAGTGCGGTTAAGTATAGGTCAACCAATCTCTGTGACCGACAAGGCATGTCAAGGCCACCATCTACAGCAGTGGATTGACAAAACATGTGTTATTTATTATTGCTGTTGTTATTATGATGATGTTGCATGTGTATATGCTACTCGACTGAAACTTACCAGTCCGTGAATCCTCTCCCTTCTTCTCTCTCTGTCTCTGTCGGGCACTCACTCCGTCTCGACCCAGATCGCTCCCACTTCTTCTCTTCTCCGTCACGAGGTTCCCCCCTTTCCTCTCTTCCACTTCCCGTGTTTCCGTCACCAAACCCCAACATCACAGTCACCCCCATCCACCCACCCCCGCCTCTGCCTCTGTTACCGCAACGGATGCCTGCAACCACTCGGCTGTTTTGACAAATCCTGAGATGATGTTACAATTGTAGTCGATGATGACGGGGGTAGCAATGTGTTCAGAAGCTAATTGCCAATTTTGAGGTCTGCCAGTCAGGACGAGAGAGACAGTGCAGTTAGAAATAAATTAGATAATAAAAGCACGCTTTTCAATGCACACACTTTTATTTGCACTCAAAAGTAGAAAACAATTTTTTTATGCCCAGAATTAATCAAATTTGATGTGCTGAATAAAAGTGGGTGGCTTGCATACTGTATAGAAAATTAAACATTTTGAGCGGATACTCTTTGGTTCTTTCGGTAAAGTCGATCGAAACGTCGTGATTTATTTTATTTTATATCTACGTGACTTTACCCAGAACCAAAGAGTATAGATTCCTGCAGTCACGAAAGCTTCAAATCAAGATTTATATCGAGAGGAAACGCCTCCTTTTATTCAGCACATTACATTTTTATCAATTCTGGGGTGCAAATAAAAGTGTGTGCATTGAAAAACTTGCTTTTTACCATGTTAATCTTGTAAAACTAATATATGCATGTACATTTTGATCCTAAGGCGGAGGATAGGGCAGCATGGAGAAGGTTGGCAAGGCCAGTGGACCCCCCGTGAGTGGGACAGACACGTGGAAGAAGAAGACCTCAATCCAGACAAGAACAATAGTTCATTATTGTCTGGATAATTAAAATATATTTTAAATAGTGCAATAAAAACATTAAGCAAAAAACACGAAAAGGCCCAGGATTGGCATGACCTGGACCAGTTCTTTAAATGAAATCTTGAATTGGCACGCGAGACGATGAGTCTGTGTACAACATTTCAGCTCGTTAGGCTCCGCAGATCCGAAGATATTAAGCGTCAATGATTTGAAAGAATATAAACAGACCACAGGGGAAGTTAAATAAAAGTGTGTATATAATAATAACATTGCTCCTGTTTACGACATGAGAAATAAGGACGATGTTGTTGAAGTTGCAAAATAAAGTTAGATGCACTTAAAAAAATGTTTTAAAGGATCGCAGCGGGAAACGAGTTATTATCGTCAGATAAGTATCATATCATTAAGTTAATTACTCAACTGCACTAAATATACTGACGATCGTTAAAGTAAATAGCCTTGCGCAGGGCACGTCGTGGATAGAAGGGATGGAGGCCGATGGTCGAGCGACGGAGTGGCGGCACAAAGAGTGAGAGGCTGAGCGATGAGCCCCAAGTTCTCCAACTCCACGTGTCACGCTCTATCTTCCTGTTATTCATCCTTGTGTCACAGCAGTGATTATTCGGGCATTAATATATAGAGAGTCTCTTCGATAACGAGGAAGTTGCGTTCTTGAACAACACCGCTTTATGGGAAAATCGCGCTATAATGAATAATGTATGGGTAAAGCACAGTCCGCGGTAACACGTGAGATGCGTACGCAGGCTGAACGAAGACTGAGTGAGTAGCATCTTGAAGCATCCAGCAGCATCCCAATGCCGTGTGTGATGCTACACCGAGGCAGCCGTACAACCGCTTATTCCTACCCGCGCTGCGACGTGGTTCTGTTCATTCGATCGCGTTGAATAAAATTCGCATCCGCATTATAAATACTGTGTTCACTCATACATTCATCGCATTATATCCAATTCGCCTTATGAAAAGAACACCGGGCGTTCTCGGAGAACAGGACTGGACTTCTGAGGACAAACGCATTTCGGAGTATTATAGAATCCATGCGTATGCGTGATTTTTCTTCTTTGTTTACACTGCCGATGACCGACTACCTCTACGAAATAAACATGGCCATTATTTCTGTACAACGTTTTGAATGTAGATGCCACATGGACACAACTTGTATTTAATTGTCGCTGCCATCACCATCATCAGCCATGCCCAATCCACTGCTGCCTGCCACGTGCTTAATGTGCAGGGTAAATTTATATCTCGGAAAACAGAGGATGGCAGAGGGAGATTATAATATTGACGGTCGTTTTTTTATACTGCCAGTAACGCCTATGGAATAATACTTGTGTAGAAAATGTACAATCTAAGGATTGCCACTTCATATCCCAGAGTGGAATAGCAGGGGGTCCTTCATCCTAAATGGGCGGTGAACTTTGATGTTATAGCAATTGCAGGGCTGCGCCTTTACCAAGGCAAACAAACGAGACGGAACAATACAAACAAGACAGAACAATACAAACGAGACAGAACAATACAAAGGGGACAGACAATACAAAGGAGACAGACAATACAAAGGAGACAGACAATACAAACGAGACAGAACAATACAAAGGAGACAGACAATACAAACAAGTTAGACAATACACACGAGGCAGAACAATATAAACGGGACAGAGACAGAACAATGCAAACGAGGCAGAACAATACAAAGGAGACGGACAATGCAAACGAGGCAGAACAATACAAACGGGACAGAGACAGAACAATGCAAACGAGGCAGAACAATACAAAGGAGACAGACAATGCAAACGAGGCAGAACAATACAAAGGAGACAGACAATACAAACGAGGCAGAACAATACAAACAAGACAGAATAATACAAATGAAACAGACACTACGAACGAGGCGGAACAATACGAACAAGTTAGACATTACAGACGAGACAGAACAATATAAACGAGACAGAACAATACAAACGAGGCAGAACAATACGAACAAGTTAGACAACACAAACTATTTATTGAAAAATGTTGGACGGGTTAGATTGCCTAAATATAAATGTGTCGTGAACCCACCGCCACCCGTCACGTGAACGAAACGTGTCAATCAGCTATTACGTCAGCACCTCGGTGTGATGGCGATGGGAACGTGAGAGAGGTCTTAATGGGCAGCTTCGCACGCACAAAAGCTGGAACTTGTCAACAAACTCTGATTCAAATCCGCCAACTTCCCTTTTGTGATTTCCACTCCGTGCCGCTCGGGAAACACAAGACTGTAGTTTCGCAATTAGTATCTTGAATGTGTTTTTGGTGGGGGGGGGGGGGATTTTGGTAAATAAATTACGCGTCTTTCAGAGCGATGCCAATTCCGCAACGAGTTGGAGATCCCGCGTTGGTGCACTGCGTGGAATGCTTAATAACAGTGGAAGAAGAATAAAATCTTCATATTTTCATACACGGGCTCATCGTGATTCGTTTGTTATATCTCGGATCGCGTGAAGGCGTTTAGGTCATAGAGAGATCTGCGGAGCCTTCGCCGCACCGTGTTGGAGTGGGAATTGCCGATGGAATTATTTTTCTTCAGCAAAACCGGTTATATCGCGTTAACACGTCGTAGGCTTTCGCGACCAGTATCATCCATAATACAGTTTTTTTTGGGTTAGATCGCGTAAATATAAATGTGTTGTTAAACCCGCCACCACCCGACACAGCCAATAAGTAAGATTGTAAATGTTGTGGATTTGCGCTCCAACACGCCGGTGTGCTGCACTAGTAACGAATTGGCACGTTCTGTTTACGTGACAACCCTTACTCTGCCTATGAAATACTATATCGCTCGTGGGTAAACTATTAATGTTGGGTAACTTGTCATGATGTATGTATGTTGAACTTATTTAGCACCGTAGATAGCCATCCGTGGGATATTATGCATTATTCCATGGCTGTCGGGTACACTTATTTTTGAGCGGCCAGTGATGTTTTGGTACGCCCTATGCATCCAGGGTACCCTGCTTGTGAAACACCCTGTCTCCCGGTGTACGTTGTGATTTCTGGGTACCCTGTGTATCTAGCGAACTCTTGTTTATAAAATACGACGTGTTTTTAAATAACGATGGGTTTTTTTGTACACGATAGGTGTTTTGTGTACCCGATGTTTTTTGGGTACATGGTGGTTTTTTGAATACACGATGGGGTTTTTGGGGTACACGATGTGGTTTTTTGGGGTACACGATGGGTTTTTTTGGGGGTACACGATTGTTTTTTTGGGGTACACGATGTGGTTTTTTGGGGTACACGATGGGTTTTTTTGGGGTACACGATGGGTTTTTTTGGGGTACACGATTGTTTTTTTGGGTACACGATGGGTTTTTTGGGGTACCCGATGGGTTTTTGGGGTACACGATGGGTTTTTTTGGGGTACACGATGGGTTTTTTTGGGGTACACGATGGGTTTTTTGGGGGGTACTCGATGGGTTTTTTGGGTACACAATGGGGTTTTTTTGGGTAGACGTTGTTTTTTGGGGGATACACGATGGGTTTTGTAGGGTAATGATGAGTTGTTTTGGGGTACACGATGGGTTTTGTAGGGTAATGATGAGTTGTTTTTGGGGTACACGATGGGTTTTGTAGGGTAATGATGAGTTGTTTTTGGGGTACACGATGGGTTTTGTAGGGTAAAGATGAGTTGTTTTGGGGTACACGATGGGTTTTGTAGGGTAATGATGAGTTGTTTTGGGATACACGATGGGTTTTGTAGGGTAATGATGAGTTGTTTTGGGGTACACGATGGGTTTTGTAGGGTAATGATGAGTTGTTTTTGGGGTACACGATGGGTTTTGTAGGGTAATGATGAGTTGTTTTGGGGTACACGATGGGTTTTGTAGGGTAATGATGAGTTGTTTTTGGGGTACACGATGGGTTTTGTAGGGTAATGATGAGTTGTTTTGGGATACACGATGGGTTTTGTAGGGTAATGATGAGTTGTTTTGGGGTACACGATGGGTTTTGTAGGTTAATGATGAGTTGTTTTTTGGGTACACGATGGGTTTTGTAGGTTAATGATGAGTTGTTTTTGGGGTACCCAATGCCTCTCCCCGCGTTACCACTACGCCCCCACGAGGTGGCCGCCTGCGTCGACTCCCCTCCTTGCCGCGCCTCCACCGGGGAGAGCTTCCCAGCACCCAGACCTCGACCCCCTTCTCCCTGCGCCGTCTTTGTCTCCCCTGCCTCCAGAGACACCGCAGAGGTGAGACCCTCCCCCTGCCGAGCCCCACAGACCCCGGTTGAACCCCTGAGCCGGGACCCCCGTGACGGTGACACCTTGAGAGGTCAAACGGAGGCCTGCGGCCTAGCTAGGCGGAGTCGTTGGCGCGCCTTTATAAGAGGCGACTTTGAACGGTACATTAATACACTTTCCTACACCTGTAGTTATTGTTAACGATGTACGTGTTTTATATTTTTTAAAATTGTAGAATGGAGTTTATTTTTAAACTAAAGTACGTTGATGCGAATGTTCGGGCCTAGCTTTAAGGCTCGCTCTAGTGCCCTTTTAAACGCCGCTATTAAACCACTGTTACGCCTGGACACGTACGTCAAAGGGGATTGTTTCGTGCCGGGAATGTTGTGCTTATCTATCGTGGGCGTTTATAAATGACCATCAAGCTGGAGTGTAAACATCAAAGGAGTATAAACATCAAGTGAGTGCAGGTCTGAGGGGAATTCTCCCCCCTTATGTCGCGTTACACAACACGGTTTTTAGGCTTAATTAGGCGCAACATCGTCTAAAAGGTCGTCGAGTGTTCATGTTCATGGCAGCGATTGGTTGTGGCGTTTTAAAATGCCAGTGAGCTTTTTAAAACGTTTAAATGTGCTTTATTGCACCTGGTTGAATAATGAATTGCCTCTAAAAATGCTGACGTCTCGCGGGTTACATAAGGGATATAACTTAAATCACTTCCAGCGTGTAAGGGATTCCTGAATCATAGTTATCTTCCGAATCGACACGTTTCAATCATTGTTAATTTTGTCTTGTTTGATGGGCAAGAGTTGTGGAGCCCTAACCGTGATTCTCTAGTAACCACTTAAGGCATTTCCCGTCCATGAGCTGTTTTTTTGCACAAACGTGTTATTGAAACAGCAGTCAAAAGTCGCTTTGCAATAAGATTTAGATTTTTAAAAGTAATTTTCCCATGTGTTAAACTTAAGGGAAACATTGGGTCATCAGCAGTGCTGACCATCAACATTGCAGACCATCAACATTGCAGCTTAGTGGTGATGATGTTAAGAACCTCCCATGCAAGTGTCTCTCTCCATCTGAAATGTTGTTTTTTAATACAACTGCTGTCTCCACAGATGAGATGTTGGGAAAGAAACCCAGGTCCCTCTTGCAAATGAGACTCACCTGGTCTCTTGAGAGAGTGTGTGTGTGTGCAGACGTGTCCGCAAGTCAGGGGGGAACGGTAGCGTAAGGGTTAGCGCGAACCCGGCGACCCGAGTTCGATTCCCGCTCATGGCCAACACCAATGACGGATTATCTTTTTCGGTCCTGGGCTTCCCCTGGGTCGGCTCAGCCTCAAGGGAGTATCTGCTGCTATGTGTAAACATCGCCACTAGGGAGACTAAGGCGGCCGTGCGTGGTGCTGGCAACCCACCCCCTCGTGTGCCGTGCCGGCCTTCATAGGTGCTACTCGCTAACAGCACCTTGCGCCCAACAATCTGTTATGGCTACACAGGGGGGAACTTTGTCCTTGGCCGCTAGTCAGCGTCCATCGGAAGGCTTGTTCATGTGCAGCCCGCTAACAGTGTGTACGACCTACAGCGGGATGTTCATTATCTCGTCTTGTTTGCTTGCAACAGAAGCCATGTGGACACTCCGCCCAGTGCTGAACCTGGGCATCAGGTCGGGTCCCGCGAGCCTGAGTCCAGTGTGCGTCGCACGCCTCAGCGCCGCCGCAGCCCCTGAACAGGTGAGACCCCCCCATGCACCCCCCCCCTCCACCTCTTGATTGTTGCTATTGGCACCTGTCGCCAAATTGCCTGGAACCAGCCCCATCTCATTAGATTTCAGCAGCTAGGTTTGAGCCCGGACAGCGCTTGGAAGGGTCGACCGCCGTGCATAACAGGGTTGTTGCACGGTAGGCAAGAGCGGAGCAGTACGGTCAAAATCCATTCCTGTACTCTACTTATATGCTGCCGCATCTATGCTGCTCCACCACCACTCCACGTTCGCACCTCTGATTAGCACGATTCGCTACGCACGGTGCGAAAGAAGTTCAACAAACATATGTACATCATAGTTGAAGTGCGGTCAAATAATCCCCACGGCCCGCGCTTATTGATGAGGTCCTCATCCAGCGGTGGAGTAACAAAAGTGCTTGTACAGTGTGCGATGTCAACAGTAATGGCGTGCGTGATGTAATGTCCGCGATGTTGTGTCCTGCCCCGCTCAATAAATAAAAACCCTCTGTGTGTTTGTTCGATAGCAAAAGCCGAAGAAAACCAAGTTTGGCCCTCTGAAGGATGAAGACCGCATTTTTACGAACCTCTACGGCCGCCATGACTGGAGGTACTGTCACTGTGGCCTCGATGAAGCGCAGGATACAGCCTCAGCATCCACAACTCAACGCATCCGTCCATAGCACGGTCTCAAAATAAAACACAATACAGTAAAAACCTTGGATTGCGAGTAACTTGGTCTGCGAGTGTTTTGCAAGACAAGCAAAAATTTTAAATAAATATTAATTTGATAAACGAGCGAGGTCTTGCAATACGAGTAGTACGTATACGCTTTGTCTGCCGAGCGTCACGTGATCACAACTGATATACGAGTGCTTTGATATACGAGTGCTTTGGATTACAAACACATTTCCGGAACGAATTATGCTCGCAATCCAAGGTTTTACTGTTTAGCGTATAATTGGCTATGTGCTGTGAAGAACGGTCATTCCTGGAAACGTCGCCTATTATATTTTCGTATCAAGTCACAGTGTTGTTGACAAATGTGTTGATTTATTTTTATTGTTAATTGTGCTCGTGCACCACCTGCCAACGCAGCAGAATCTCTAAATTGTTACAATGCTCTGTGCAGTGTGGCGTAGTTGGACTTGTCCGACTGGATGTAATAGACAGTAACTGCAATAATAACTATACAGGGTGAGCCATAGAATTCCCTCAGTTAATGCTGTGCAGAAACCTTTTTAAAGGTATTTTGAAAAAATGTCCTTGAGCTTCGGCCGCTCCGAGTCTACGTCCGGCAGGGGGCGCTAGAATGGTACGGACGGTGGCCGGCAACCTGCGATTCCTCAAGGTCTGCTTCGTGACGTTTTTGATTAAGGACCATCGTCCCGTATTAACATCCATTGCGGCTCTCGATCAATTGAGTTGTTTACCGAATTCGAAAAAAATGGCCGCTCTTGTTATTTTGGTTGCCGATCCCGTAAGAGCAAAGGCGCGACCATGCTGTGATTTGTCTCGCGTGCGTGCGTGCGTGCGACTGCCGCCAGGCTGAAGGGCGCCATGGCACGGGGAGACTGGTACAAAACGAAGGAGATCCTGCTCAAGGGGCATGAGTGGATCCTCAACGAGGTGAAGGTGTCGGGGCTGCGAGGACGCGGCGGCGCCGGCTTCCCCACCGGCATGAAGTGGGGCTTCATGAACAAGCCCTCCGATGGACGGTAACCAGTGGCATATACGCACGAGACAAAGATGCTGCCCCCGTATCATCATCATCATCACGATCCATGGGCGGATAGCCCGTAGGTGTCCACTGCACATTTTTTTCCTTTCTTTCCACTTTTCTCTGTCTTGAGCCAATATGCCCAGGTAGCGCACATCTTTCTGGTGCGATTCCGCACCAGGTAATAATTTGAGGCTGAGTAGACCGAGAGGAGGCCCAGGACCAGTTCAGATAATCCGTCACTGGTGGTGGCCATGAGCGGGAATTGAACTCGGGTCGCTGGGTTTGTAGCACAACGCCCTAACCGCTAGACTACCGCTCCCCATGGCATATACACACGAGCACACGTGCACGCGTGTGTCAGGCGGGCGCATCTGCATGCACCCAGACAGGCTAGCTCTCACTGTAAACGGAATCCTGGGTGAACATTAGTTTCCCACCCCTGAGAGGCCGTCCTCTAGTAATAACCCTTCCGCTCGTTGTCATTGGTTACCCGCCACGTGACTCGTGTGCTCATGCATCGGGCCATCAACGTGCACGCATGCATCTGCGACTGCGCATCTGGGTAAGAAAATAAAAATTCGTGCAACGTTTCAGGCCCAAGTACCTGGTGGTGAACGCAGATGAGGGCGAGCCCGGCACATGCAAGGATCGAGAGATCATGCGCCACGACCCGCACAAGCTGATCGAGGGCTGCCTGGTGGCGGGACGCGCCATGGGAGCGCGCGCCGCCTATATTTACATCCGCGGCGAGTTCTACAACGAGGCGTCCAACTTACAGGTTTGTGCGTCCCAGCCAACGTATTTACGCCATGGCGGCGTGCGCCATAAACTCCTGCCGGATGGCGGTGGCGTACACCTGCACGCCTCAAATGAACCTCTAACTGTTGCAGGCTATGAACATAATTTTTCCGTATTCTTTTTTTCGTGGTCGGTTCTTACTCTGAAATAACGATAGAATTGTAATCGTACCGTGAAAGTATTTAAGTTGCGCCGTGTTTCTTTAGGATTATCCTTTGCCACAGCTTCGTGCCACGGTCGTGTACCACAATCGCGTGCTGCATCAAACCTCTTAGCACAAAGCTATATTGTGGTCTCACTAGCAAGCACTAGCGGTTCCTGTGTATGTACAGTTTCCGAGTCTGTTCAATAATTCATTTATGTAAGCTCAATGCCAAATTTAAAATGTAATAGTTTTTAAGACTCCTCAATTTTTTTTGTATTTGAAAACGGTTCCATTTTTGTAATATTTAACAGATCAGAAACACAGACACTGATAAAGAACAAGAGACAGAGCGGTGCGTCGATGGATGATTTTGCAAATCGGTGGCTGTTAAGCAAAGTGGGCTTTGGGCAGGACACATCGCTCGGTGAGATTACGGGTGATTGATGAGACCCGTGATGGTGTGGCAGCCGATGGAAAGGACACTCTTTCGAGGAGAACCGCACCACATGATGGAGCTACGAGATCAGTTGATGTGCAGAAGTGAGGACCGTGACAGATGACGATGTTGCTGGGTGCATTGTGGGGCTCCACAGTGGGGAGATGTTATCTCCCTCGTCTGGTATGAAGGAGGTCGTGGGTTCGATCACGACCTTGACATCTGTATATTCAGAGTTTGCGTGTTCTCCCCGTGGTCGCGTGGATTTTTCTCCGGGTCATCCGGTTATTTTTCCTCCACATTTTTAATCAACTTAACACGTTTAGATGAGTTGGCTGTTATACATTTCCACACGAAAACTCACTTCGTGGAACTATAGTTTGTGGCCAGGTCTCTTCTGAAAAAGTGGGCCTTACCTGGTAAAATAAAAATTGTTTAGTGTGTCATTTCCCTGGAATAAATTCCGATTTCAAATGTAACCAAAACTGAATGAAACATATAATTTATTCTCTTCACTGAAGTCTTAACATATCTCTTTTGCACAAGGGATAATCAAAGTTAGTGAATGCTCACCTGCTTAAAACAATGCTGCATTAATGTTTTACTGGTGGTCATTTGTGTGGTAACACACACATAAGCCTGCGGGCATTGATAATGCGAACACGTGTTTTGAGTGCACACAATGCGCGTGGGTGTTTGCGTGTTCACACACGGGCACAAAACTAATCTTGGTTTGATTCCCCGCTATGGGGAATCAAACCAAGATTACCAGCAGCAGGTAAAATCTGAACCTCCTCTGGGCCTTTCCTAGGTTGCACACCTTAAATGAGTACTTGGTGTGTGTGTGTAAACATCAGCATAGGGGAGTCAAATGCGGTCTGGTATTGTTATGTCCACACCACCCCTTAGTGCGCCAGCTTCAGTAGTCGCTCGCCAACATCGGCTGCCCCCGACAGTCTATATGGGCATATTATTTGTCACAGTCGTGCTATCAGTGTCATGTCATGAAACACACATCTATTATTCGGATCTCACACAGAGCAGTGCTCCCCTGTGTTTGTTAGAGAACGTCCCCCTGAAGCGGATCTCGTAGAGCTGCTTCTGAGGTCATTTTGAAGTGAACTCTGATCCATACCAGGATGGGGCAGCGCTTTCTTACCTGCCCTGACACAGAGTGTAATGGTCTTCGCATGATACGCAAAGTGATAGCTTTAAGTCTTGGAGCTGGGAGTTTATCCAAATTAAGTGCAGTAATTAAGTGTGATGGTGGCGGCGGGGGTGGCTGGGTTTTGTGTAGTCATCATAAACTCGCTACCCTAAAGAACCCCTGTCTAATTAAAGAATCGCAGCGGTGCCAGCAGTTCTTTGCTCTGACCTCGACGCATTTCCGTGTGTACCCTCGTCTCGCCGCGTACGCGCGCAGCTCGCGATCAAGGAAGCGTACGAGAAGGGGCTGTTGGGGCACAACGCGTGCGGCTCGGGCTTCGACTTCGACGTGTTCGTGCACCGCGGGGCCGGCGCGTACATTTGCGGCGAGGAGACGGCACTGATCGAGAGCCTGGAGGGCAAGCAGGGCAAGCCGCGTCTCAAGCCTCCCTTCCCCGCCGACGTCGGTGAGCGTTTTAGAGAGTTTATCCGGCCACTGCTATGTAATTGTCCCCGTGGTGATAAGCCACTATGTTGAGCTGCTATCATTTGTACGCCAGGTGGCTTCTGAAAAGTGGCCTTAATCTGCGAAGAGAAAAAATAGTTTCGTTTATTTGTATTTTTTGAAAGTGATTTGTTTACCTTTCCTCTACCTTGCACTTCTATCGTGCTTTTTGTGTTGTTGTTGTAACGTTCTGACCCCGTGCCCCGACTGGACGTCTGAAAATGAGCTTTATAGCTCATCGGATTCCTCCACTACAACTAAGTATTCTGATTATGATTGAGCTCCCGTCAAGCCCATGTGCGAGCCCCTTTGCGAGAGCCCCTGGCTGGGCCGTGCAGGAGAGCGGGAGGCGTGGGCGACGCTGCGCGACGTTCAGCGTGGATTTATGTAACGCCCCGCCACGGCCGCATCTTGAGACGGACGCTGCGCGGAAAAAGGTGTTTGACACGTGCGCCGGCACGCGGCTGCGGTTCTGCCCGTCAGGCGTGTTTGGCTGTCCCACGACGGTTGCTAACGTGGAGACGGTCGCCGTGGCGCCCACCATCTGCCGTCGCGGCGGGGAGTGGTTCGCCGGGTTCGGACGCGAGCGAAACTCCGGGACGAAGCTGTTCAACATCTCGGGCCACGTCAACCACCCGTGCACGGTGGAGGAGGAGATGTCCATCCCGCTGAAGGAGCTCGTCGAGAGACATGCCGGTGCGTCTGTGTGTGTGGACGTGTGTGGTGAGCAGGGAGCGGTGGTTGCAGTGTTTAGCGCCACTGCGCTACGAATCTGGCGACCTGAGTCCGATTCCCGCTCGCGGCCAACACCAGTGACGATTATCTGAACTGGTCCTGGTGTGTCTCCCCTAAGTCGACTCTGGCTTAAAATGATTACCTGGTGCGGTGTGAAAACATTGCTACTCGAGAAACAAAGGCGGCCAGGCGTGGTGCTGGCCACCCACCCCCTCATGTGCTGTGGTGGCCTTTGCAGGTGCTCGCTAACAGCACTTGCCACAAAAGTATGTAAAGACTATACAGGGGATCTTTGTCTTTTTTTTGGTGAGCGGTAGTGTATTGGTTAACGTACTACATTACAAATCTAAATTCTATCTCTGTTCACAGTCAACGTCTTGGGCTTACCCAACGTAGACTCAGCCTTAATTGAGTACCTGGTACGGTGTGTAAACATCTGCCCTGAGAAAATAAACCTGGCCACATCGCCCAGCTGTGTGTGCCATGTTGGGTTCTAATAGGCACCCGCTAACAACAACTGCCCCAGCGGGTCTGTCTGTAAGGCTGGCCTTGACACTGGACTCAACTTACGGCTGGAGGGGCGGGGGGTGGGCCCCAAGGCTGGCCCTCGTTGGTTCTGGCCTTGAATCTAAGACTGCCCTGAATCAGGAAAATTTATGGGACTAGTGAGGGCGGAGAATCATTACACACTCACAAAGCTACTCCCCCGCTCCATGCCTCCACAATGTAAAACACGGGATAGATTTCTAGATCAAATTGTGACCTTGAATCTTGGAAATTAATCAAATCATGTGGGGATTGGGCAGGGATGATGGGGAGATGGGGGGCTGTGGAATGTTTATTCCGCGGGGCACCGCGGTGACGAGACGTTAACTCCCTCGTCTGGTATGGAGAAGGCCCTGGGTTCGATCCTGACCCTGACGCGTGCTGTATATTTGGAACTTGAATGTTTTCTCCCTGCGGTCGCGTGGATTTCTCTCCAGCTCCTCCGGTTTTTGCCTCCACATTTAGAATCGGCATCACACGTTTAGATTATTTGGCTGCTATAAATTACCATACGATAAGCCACTTCGTGTAGCTATCATTTGTGATAGCCAAATTGCTTCTGATAAATATCTAAATATCTCAGTGAGCCTGACCTGGTAAAATAAAAAAAAGTTGTTTCGTTTTTACCACTGGCTCAGGGCGAACAATGGATATGAGCAACCTCTACCCATGAATCGTTACACAACTGACAGCCCTCCCTCCCCATTGCCCCCCTCCCACCATCGTGTCTCTGTGGTGGTAGGCGGAGTGCGTGGCGGCTGGGACAATCTGTTGTGCATCATCCCGGGGGGCTCGTCCACGCCGCTCATCCCTCGTGCCGTGTGCGACGAGGTCCTCATGGACTTCGACGCTCTCGTCGCAGCGCAGACCGGCCTCGGCACGGCCGCTCTCATCGTCATGGACAAGTCGGTACGTCTGTGGTGGTGACGGTGGTGGTGGTGGTGATGACGATGATGGTATTAATGCTGCTCGTGATGATTGTAATGACGGCAATGATGGTGATGACAATGATGATGAAATGGCTTGTTTACTTTGGGGTCTTCACCCACGATACATTGACCACTTCTGCATTTAATTTGGCTTAATTCCACCTTCAGAGAAGCAAAGCTGTCGAGGTTTGTGTGTCATCCGATGACTTTCTGTCCTGTGGCAGGGTGGTTAGAGAGTGCTTAGCCCCCCTACTGTGCGGACCAGAAGTTAGTTGAAGGGATCTCGGGAGGTAGCTCTATGATACCCTCTTCCGTGCGCTATTCTCATGAAAGGTTTCCTCCGTTCGGCTCGGCGAGCGATGCAAATTTATTTTTCTCGTCTCTCAACGCGACGCCGTTGGCACAGTCGTCAGGACACGGCTGGGGTGGGTGGGGGGGAAGGCGACGGAGCGCCAAGTTCTGTGGCTCAGGTGGCCGCGCGTTGTTGCTGGGTTCACAGACGGACGTCGTCAAGGCTATCGCTCGCCTCATGGAGTTCTACAAACACGAGAGCTGTGGGCAGTGCACACCTTGCCGGGAAGGCAAGTGCACGCGCGCCCGCACACGCACGCGCCTGCCCGACAACCGCCATTCGCCACTAAGTGCCGGTGATGTTGCCACGGCACTTGTGCCAGGCTCTGTGCACTTTAAGGCCACATGAAGTGTCGAATGCCCGCTGGCAGGAGGTCACGGCACAGGCCCAGGTGCCATGGGTCGACTGACTGAGATGACTGGTTGATGCACCACCTGTGTCCCCTATTGTGCGAACTTGCTGTATTTTAGCCGCCCAGCCGCATGCACGTTGCGCACACCCACATGGGCACACACGCAGAGGTACACTCGTACGCCAGAGCACGCACAACTTGGTCCGATTCTTAAGCCTGCTGGTGGGTACGATGAAGACCGTGGAATTGTTGAGGACGTTTACAGGAATGATGATGACGATGATGGTGGTGGTGGTGGGGACCACACAGGCACGGGCTGGATGAACACGATGATGTGGCGCCTGGTGGATGGCAATGCGCGGGCCGAGGAGATTGACATGCTGTGGGAGATCAGCAAGCAGATCGAGGGACACACCATCTGCGCGCTGGGCGATGGAGCAGCCTGGCCCGTTCAGGTGATCTCTCGCTCCTTCGTTACATGCCTTTTTTTTCTTATTTCTCCCCACTACTTTTCATTTTCCAAATGTGCTGTTTGCCTGCTCGGTGTTTCTGTCACTATATGAGTGACCACCTCCTCACACTCCCCCTCGCCCCCCCTACCGGCTGGCGTTGATTATGAGGTTCTGTCTGCAGCTGGCGCGTGACTCGTTCGCCTCTCCCCCTCTTCCCTCCCACGCCGCTCTTCCTCAGGGCCTCATCCGTCACTTCCGCCCGGTGCTTGAAACGCGCATCCAGCGCTACCAGGAGGCCGCCGTGCGGAAGGCAGCGTCATCGTCATAACCTCGTCACTGCCACCGCCCTGTTCCCCCTGCACCCCCCATCTCCCCCCCCACCTGGCATGGCAGTCCATCAGCCAGCGGTGGGAGGGGAGGGAGTGGAGAGTTGGGGAGAGGGAGGGAGGGTGGTGGCGCCCGCTTCCAAATTACGGAAAAGCAGAACACCACGCACGAACGCACACGCGCATGCACACGTACGTTGACCCAAATATGCACGATTCCAGGCCCTGGTGGGGAGAACGTGACAGTCGTGTACAGTGGAAAGAGAGAGAGTGACGCCAACGCTTTAGGTTTGCTTTCGCGGATTCTCTCCCGTGCGTGTTTATCCTCTGCTCGTCGACAGTTGCCCCCGCGGTGTGTGTGCGTGTGTCGCGTAAGTAGAGCCGCTAGGGGCACCTTTAATTTCGTGTTCGTTTGGTTTGGGTTTGTTATTGCGGAACGCGCGCCCGGCACAGCTCGGCATGCACGTGCTCCCTGGACGGTAGCGATCGTCCGATTCCATCAGAGTGCCAAGCCGCGACGTAACCCCAACCCGGGTCCAGTCTGCGGTGCCGGGGGCGGTGTCAGCCCCAGGCTACTTTAACTCAGCTCCCTCCACTGCAGCCACTTCACGCCCTGCGGTCGCGTCTGATAAAGAAGTCGCAACCCAAAAAAACAAATGGTTCTTATCTTGTGGACAAAGAGGCCTTTCAGCTGTTGGCAAGCCGTGCGTGGCTTGATCCACCTCGTTCTGTCCGACACCCGAGTTTGGTGGGGGGGGGTTGTTTGGGGTGATTTATGCCCCCCCAAATAGGGGGCCCTGTTCATCCCCTGAGTGATCGTGCAACCTGCTCCTTGGTGACGTGGGGGGGGGGGGGGTGCTTTGTCCGCACGTGGTGATGTTCATCCTTTGGTTATTGACAGCTCTGGACCCTGAGTGCAATAATAAAACGGCGCTTACACACCGGCCCCCTACGCGCGCTGCTCATCCTCTTGGTTTTAGGAAGTTGGTGACCTCGCTCGAAAAAATAAGTCGTTTGTTCCTCGGCAACTTTCTGCTGTTTTGCTCGAAGCAGCTGATGTGTGATCCAGATGCGGGGGAGCGCTTGCTGTTTCAACTGGAGATTCGTCGAATCCTGCGAGTTATTTTTACCTTCTGAAATTGACGATCGGGCAGGTGGGAAGAGGGCTACCCCACGCGGTTGTCTCGCTCTGCAAGGGATCCAAAGGGTTTTTCTTTTTTATCTCCTGGCGTGGCGCCTACGGCATCATCGGCATAACTTTCTGCTGTGACCAGCCATACGCCCGTTTGTCTCATGCCGAAATCCAATGGAATCGTAGTTTACCCTCCCGCCGAATAGAGCGAATGGCAGGTCTTTAAAAAAAATCACATAAATTAGACTTCCCTGCAGTACTGTACGTACAGTGTTTACGGCTGGGTGTCTGCTGTGGATCTGGCCACTCGGAGCGCCCCCTCCCCCCGACCATCGGGACTGCAGAACCTGAAATCGAGCACAAGTGGTCAAGTTCTTGGGTGTTTGGCCATTCTTCACTCGGGTCAGTACATGTTGGTGAAGGGAGGAGCACATGTTGATGTCTCGCCTCGCTGGTACATTCATTTATATAGCGCCCTGCTCGGCACCCTGCACAGGGCGCTTTATGCATCCCCCTATCCCAGGGGACGGCAACCAAAATAACAAGAAGCGCAATTTGTATTCGATTTCGGTGTATGAATTTTTAAAAAAATTCAATGCATGTGAATACGGGGGACGGTCCTTGATTAATCACGTGACAGAGCAATCGTTACGGAGCCGCACGCTGCCAACCCCCTGGCCTATCCATTATAACGCCTCGTATCTTCAAGGTGACGAAGCCTCCTGGCCACGTCCGAGGGGGCGGAGGCCCCTTTGAAGAAGCTGTCGCCACCTCTGCAGTCGTCGTCATCACAACACGGTCGCGCAAATCGGGATTCGGATCTGTACGAGAGCAACAGGAAAAAAAAAGTGGAACAAACAGAAAAAACAAACGAATGTGGGAAGCTGGCCACGTTCAAGAGGCACGTCCATGCCGTGGCTGGGTGGCATGGATTCGTTTTTGTTCTCTGACCACCAAGTTTAAACGGCTCCATTGACCGCAGGCCTGTGGCTGAGATCCGATCGCCCAGCAGCACTGCCCGACGGAGAACATGTGCTATCACGGCGGTAGCAGCAGCAGCAGTCACAGCAGCGATAGTCCGAGGTTGTTGGTGGAGTTGTATGGGAGATGGGGGGGGTGGCGGCATAGGGTTGAGGGAACACAATGCTGTGGGGAGAGGGCGGGGTTGTGGTGGAGGGAGGCGGGGTGGTGGGAGTTGGTGTGTGGGGGGGTGGTCGGCGTTTGTGTAACTGTCCGCACGTGTTCGAGCGTGGTGCGTTGATTTTCCACGTGATTGCGTCTTGTGGCACATGCGCTCGAGTTGGCCTTTGAGACAGTTCTGTGATGATTCCACCCTCCACGGTTGTGTGGGTGCCACGGTGACGAGATGCTATCTTCCCCGACTGGTATACAGAATGCCGTGGGTTGGATCCCGACCCAGACGCCTGTATATTTGCAGTTTGCGTGTGGCTCTCCATGTGATCGCGTGGATTTTTCTCCGGGTCTTCCGCTTTTTTTCTCCTCCACATTTAAAATCAACATCACGCGTTTAGCGGATTTGGCTGCTGTAAATTTCCACTTGATAAGCCGCTTCGTTGAGCTATCATTTGTGGCCAGGTCGCTTCTGAAAAACAGTTGTATAGCTCGGGGTGGACCTTACCTGGTAAAATCTAAATATGTTTAGTTTGATGTAAACTGGCACTCGCCACTGTCGACACGGCCGCTGTCACCGCCAGTAACAATCAATTTAACCTTCCTCACCACCACCTTTATGGTCAGTCATTACACCATAATTGCCACAACAAAAACTTTCCATCACCACGACAAAACGCGGAATCACGAATGATCGCGACTCTTGGGGATCGTCACCGCAATCACTGTCATTGTTTTTCGCCACCAACGCTGCCCCTTTCGCTGCCGTGACAGTTGCCACCACGATCACCGGCACCACCACCACGGTCACTACACTCGGCACCACCCCATCGCCAAGCGGTGGTGCCACGTTCGCCGCTTTTTGTCGCAGAGCTTCACGGTTCGATCCAAGCGGCCGCCCTGATTCAATACTGCGGCCCATGAGGCATACGCGCCGTCTCCTCCACGGTACGTTCAGCGTGCCCGTGGCGTCACGGTACTTGAAGTATGCCTTGTGGCGTCATTTGCAAATGAGGGATGCCGTTGTGTGGCTGCGTCATTGTCCACATTTGAAAGATGAAAAATCGGCATTATTCGATTGGAATCTACTTGGAAAACCACTGTTGTCCTTTCCCCGCACCTATTAGCTACGTACGGTGTGAAAGAAGTTCAACATACATTGCCCCCCCCCCCACCCTTTACTGCGAAATATTGACAGGACCCTCCTGAAAAAGAGTCCTGAGACTGCTGCTGTGTAACTAAGCGTGATACTAAATACACCAACCATCACAGCCACTCCGATCACGATTGGCACCACCACCACCACAGCCTTTCGTACCATAATCTCGACACCACAAACTACCCCCACCACCCAACCACCAAAGACAACGATCCCCGTGTAGCCTTAACAGACTGTTGGGGCAAGTGCTGTTAGCGAGTGGCACATGAAGGCCGAAACGGCACACGAGGGGGTGGGTAGCTAGCACCGCGCCCGACCGCCTTTGTCTCCCTAAGTGACGGTGTTTACACATCTCACCAGGTTCCTATTTTAGGCCGAGTCTACCTAGGAGAAGATGCCCAGCATCGGTTCAGACAATCGTCACCACAAACACCACCTCAATGACGAAGCATCGCGGTCTGCCACCACCACCACCGCCAACCTCGGCACCCTCCTCCCATCGACCCGTCCCCAAGAGGCCCTAGCTCACGTAGGATGTTTGTTACATAAAAAATCGAGGGCACGTGCATCCTGGAAACAACATTTCCGCGAATTGTGGCGCACGCACGCACACGCGCGCGCCCGCGCGCACAGCACACACGTGGCCGCGCGCCTGCGCCACGCACGACACGTGCACGCGCGCGCACGAAGCTCGCTCCCAGTCGAAGATGGGGTCCTCGTTCAGATGAAGGCCAACCCCCACCCACCACCCAACTCGTCCGCTCCCCCCACTCATCCCCCAACACCACCGCCAACCACCTCGCTTCCACCCCCCAGCATCACAACCCCATTCTCGCCTATTGCGGATACGCCGTCCTCAGGGTCATCATTCGTGTCATCTTCATCACGATCGTCATCATCATGGTTCGTGTTACTATTGGCCGGCGTCATCTGTGCCATCATCATAATCACCGTCGTCATTACTGTCCTAATGTGCCATTAGCATCAGTGGCAATGTGTCGTGATTCATACCAGCTTCCGTGCCATCGCCATCCGTTTAATAATAAACAGCAGCATCACGGTATCGTCGTTATCATCACGTGTCATTGCCATAATATTAATTATCCATTAACACGTCAGCATCATTATTACCGTAATCGCCTGCACCATAATTACCACACATTTGTCATTCATATCACCTTCATCCCCCGACTCCACCGTAATCCGAACGGATGAGTGAAACCCATCACACTTCCCCCCTTCACCATAATCATCATCAGCCACGATCAATCCACTGCCGGATGAAGGCCTGCGATGGCATCAGTCCACCCCACGAGCTGATCTCTTCGCTCTATCTCCACACTCGACCACCGGCTACCATCCCTTCTCACAGACACACGCCTTCGTTGTGAAAGGTCCAACGCAGAAGATGCCTGGGGTTTGATCTCCCACGAAGTTGCTCACGGTCCACCCTAAACCGTATCCACTGCACAAACCACGGCGGCAGTGGATGCGTCGTGGTGCGACTGTGCTCATCCAGAACAGAGGCCGTACGACGTGGAACGACGCAATGCCCCGATCCACAAATACGAAGGAGACATCGCAGCGATGATGATGATCCACTACGACCACTCCGCTTGCTCCTGACGCGGTGATATCTGAGCTTGACCACCTCAATGTGACATCGCAGTTGTTGATGTGCATCTACATCAGCATCAGACGTGCGATAGAAGAAGAAGATCCCTTCTATCGACGTGTCCTGCCCACGTGCACCTTCCCTAACAGGCTAGAACGATGCCATTGACCTGAAACATGTTCTCAAACACACGTGTTCATTTTTAACATGTAGGCTTTCGCGACCAATATTATCCATAATACATAATAGAGGGGTTTTTGGGTTATATTGGTCTTGAAAGCCTACGTGTTAAATTACCCATAATACGTGTTTTTTTGGAGGGGGGGGGGGGGTTAGATCGCGTAAATATAAATGTGTCGTTAATCCCGGCGTGCTGCACTAGTAAGAAACTTGCATGAATTGTCTACGGGTGGTGGCGGGTTTAACGACACATTATATATATTTAAAAAACCTCTTCTGCACACGTGCGCCTATTTCTGCGTCTCGGTTGTGACCCCAGGCAGCGTGCAGTCGTCTCGCCTCCCGCTTGGCGCGTCTCTCATCTTCCGTCCCGACCATTGTTGGGTTAACGAGCGTGCCCCTGAAGCCATCTGTCGCGACAGCCAGCGTCGCACCGAAGGCGGAATTTTTTTGTGCTGCGCGTTACTTTTTACCATCGATTTGAGATTTCCAAAAGCACTCAAAACCCCCGCTGGCATCGGCTTCGTTAGCTCGTCGTTTTACAGTCCCGTCAGCTTTTCAACAGCTGTCCACCTACAGATACAAATAACTAAAACAACAGCAACAACAACACATTCGTCAATAGCACG